TACATGTAGATACATCTCAGAGTTATGATAAAGCAATGACTAAAATGCAATTTTTTTTAATCATAATTAATTATACTGAATTTATTTATACTAAAAAGGAAAAAAATAAAGATAGATTTTTTTAAGTTTTTGCATTATGTATTCTTTATCTTCAAATTATACGAAACTGCATTTCAGAGTTATGATTAAATAATTATAAAGTTTATGCTTTTTTTGTTGTTAATAATATAATTGTTTTGCACCTTTTCCTGATTCATATCAATTCTTACATAATCTGTTCTTACTGTTTTCTAATTATTTTTATTATTTACATAAACAATGCCTCATTAATAAAGACTTTTGTCTATGTGTTCGTTACTATGCATCTTTTACTTATCAATATTTTCGAAATTTCTACTTATAAATGGTATTATACGATTAACAGTATATCTATTTTACTTGAAATTATTCCTAAATTATATTACATCTTTATTGAATTATCTGTATTAGAAATTGCTGTCTCTGGGCCTACAGCAGCTGTTATCTTGGAGTTGTGCCTAAAAATAATTTTCACTGTAAAATTGTAATGGACACTTTGTTCGTTTGTCATGTTAATGCTCAGTCTCTTTTAGATCATTTTATCGAATTTAAAAACTATTTCAATGCACACTCTTACGACATTATTGCTGTCTCTGAGACATGGCTTAGCCCAAGATTCTCTTCCGCTTTACTTGCACTCGATAACTATGTAATTTTCAGGAATGACAGAGAAAGATGTAGAGGGGGCGGAGTGTGTCTCTATGTTCGTACGGGACTACGTTGTTCACTGGTGTCAAAGAGTTCTGAGGGTCCGTATCCAGCTGCAGAATATTTGTTTGTTGAGGTGAAATCTCAATTCGATAATGCTCTGGTTGGTGTAGTATACAGACCTCCAAATGTCTCATTCGGTAAAGAACTTGAAAATCAAATTTTTTCTATAATTATTAATTATAATAATACAATAGTCATGGGTGATTTCAACTGCAATTTAAATCAGTGCTCTTCTATAACAGACTATCTTACTTCTATGTTTTATTCTGCTGGTCTGTGTGTTGTTCCTCATGACTCTACTCATCATGTGAATGGCTCTAGTACCAGGATAGATATTATATTTGTCAATGAGATGGATAAAGTTACAGATTATTATCAATGTCCAGTGCCGTTTTTGTCTAACCACGATTTAATTAATATCAAGTTTGAGTTTGATACAGATAACTCTCAGAATAATCAACAAGTTAACTTAATAAGAAACTTAAATAACATTGCTGAGACAAATTTCCTTAATCATTTATCAACATACAATTGGGCGTGTATATATTCCGAGCCGAATGTAAATGTTAAGGTTAATACACTTGTGGGTTATTTGACCTCGTGTTTTGATATTTTTTCTCCACTTCATGAGATGAAGTGTAGAAGGAAATGTTATGAGCTCCCACGAATCGTGATAGACGGATTCGAGGTCAAGTGGAGTAAGCAAATTAAATATCTTGATGTGGAGTTAGATGGAAGGTTAAACTTTCACCACCACATGGCTACGGCGTCAAATAAGGCGATCGAGTGTGCGGCTAATCTTTCACGGCTAATGCCAAATGTTGGCGGACCCCGTGAACAAAAAAGAAGACTGGTGGCGAGTGTCGCCCGCGCTAAAATGCTCTATGCAGCACCAGCGTGGGTCCCATCCCTAAGGAGTAAAAGATGTGTAACCATCTGTGAAAAGGTACTGTCTGCGCAGAGATCGATAACAACGCGTATCATCTCTGCATATAAGACGGTATCTACGAGTGCTGTGCAGGTCCTTGCAAGTGTCCCGCCAGCAGATCTTTTGGCGAGGGAAAGGGAAGAAATGTTTCTCTTTTCTAAAGAATGCAGTTCCTTGGATGAGGAAATAAGACCAAGCAAGGGCCTGATCCGCAAAGAAGCGAGGCACAGGCTCATAGAAAGATGGCAGGAAAGATGGGATGGTGAGGAAAAAGGTCGATGGACTTATCGCCTTATCCCGGCACTCGCCACCTGGATAAATAGGAAACACGGTCAGGTTTCCTATTACTTGACTCAGGCGTTCACAGGTCACGGGTGTTTTAACTCGTACCTGTGTCGCTTTAAATTACGCGAGAACGAGGTGTGTGCATATTGCCAGTTCCCTGAGGACAACGCGGAGCACACCCTCTTCTCATGCAAGAAATGGGACTTGGAGAGGCGGGCCATGTTCGAAGGTGTAAACAGTCAAGTTACACCGGAGAACATGGTATCGTTGATGACCCAGTCTTACACTTAATTACAGATTTGTTATTTTTAATTATTGTTGTGCTGTTAATTCCGCTTTATATTAAAATAGTTTTAAATTTTTAACTATTAACGCAGGATAACCGCAGAGAAAAGCAGAAAGTCGCATTAGCGACAGAGTTGGAGCGCCACCCTCGAAGGCTAAAGTCTTACGACAGTTCCGAGGGAGGGTAAAGGGCTCCAGAAGAAGGGTTACGGGTTTTAGTGGGTCGGGCTGGCAGTAGGTCGCCAGTTTATTAAATTTACTATTTTATATATTTATTTTTCTTTTTTATATTTCCTTTTGTTTTATCACACCAACCCCACATAACCTTGGAGTGCGGAATCCAAGGTATCTGTAAGCAGATTTCCCAAAATTCCCTAAGCAAAATAATAATAATAATAATAATAATAATAATAATAATAACTCCGCTTTGAACCGGTCCCAAGCCCGGGACTCCATCTTCTCTGCTCATCTGCACCCATTTGTGTATTATATTACATAAAATGTGTGTACGTGTGCTGAGTTGTTTGGAGGAGGAGGAGCGTAGTTTGGAGAGCTTTCGAGGTGGGGACCATCTGGATATCAGCATGTTAGGGAATGTTATTTATGGAGGGTATTGCTATAAACGCAATATCCCTCTGAATGGGCAGGAAGAATCTGAACTGGTGGGTTCAGTATGAAATTTTTGTTCTGTTTTGTCTTGGTGATTGGGAAGACATAGTCTATAAACGGCATCTTCCACGAATGGGCAACTCCTGTTATCCACGCTAGCCATCTCTGCCGGCACGTCGGATCATGTTAAGTCATGCGCTCGAGACGCAGATTGGGGGGATTCAGCTTGCGGGATAGCAGGAGCTGATGTATGAATCTGAAAGGTTTAAGCCTATAAACGGCGCCTTTCATGTTGGTGAGGTGAAAGGGGAACCCTCCTGAGAGGCTTCTTCCTGAGTATGAGTGTGGGATGCGCTATAAACGCGTTATTCTCCTGGTCGCGAAGTACGTAAGGGGATCTCTGGCTGGTCCCGGCCTCCAAAGCTCCTCAAACAACATATACATAAATACACTTCTTTCTCACACTGATATAGGTACACCAACTTACATAACACGACACATATACACTTACACTGTTAATTATCACACCCATATCAAATACCGAACTTTATTTTAATGAAATGTGTGATGTAACGAACGTTATCCTCCAAGCAGGTACCTCGACAGAGGGTAATCCTGCCGTCGATTCCGATCGGGTGAAAGCCCCGATGGTCGACGCACGGCCCACGGATTTTGGAGGGGGCCAACAGCACACTGGTCCTTCTGACCATAACGGTGACGCAGAAATGGAGACAGAGGTTGTAGAAACCTTTGCCTCCACTACAAGGCAAACAAATATATCCCTGTTGATTGAGGGATTTAAGAAGATGCTTCTTCTTATGGAGAGGCAATGCAAAGTTTCGGAGGAAATGTCCAGGGCCCTTAAAGTTGTGAAGGAGGGCATCCTGAAGAACAACCCGAAGCCAGTGAAGGACAGTGCCGTGGAGGCCTTTCACCTTAGTGAAAGCGCCAGCGGCATTGCCAGGGATTTAAGAGAAGAGGGGGGAGAGCTTTTTAAAAAACTAAAAGCTGGCCCTCTCTTGCTAAAGGCAAGAAGAAAAATCCCGAAGCAATCTAATAGTCCTATGGGGACTCCCCTCTCAGATAGAAAGAAGAGGGAGGCTTCAACGACACCCCAGGATAGGGTTTCGAAGAAAGGAAAGGGGTCCGGGTCACCTCGGCAGATTGATAAAGAGGATTCTGCTGATGAGACTCGGGAAACCGCTGGGGTTGATGGGGATACCTGGATTAAGGCCACAGGGAAGAGGAAAAAGAAAAAAAAGAAAAGTGGGAAAGAAAAAATTGGGGAAAACCCAGAGGGGGGACCCAAAAAAAAGCCCGGGGAAAGAAAAAAAAAGAGAAGGGACACAGATGCCATAAAAATAAGCGCCAAGAAAGAGGAAGATTATGGCAAGATCATGGATGATATGTTCGCAGGGGTCAGCCCTGTTGAAAACAATGTTGAGATCCTGTCAGTCTGTAGATCCAGAAAGAATGAAGTTCTTCTGGTTCTTAAGAAGGGGCAGGATCTTACGCGGTTCAGCAGCGAGCTGACTACTGTCCTCGAAGGTCAGGCGGAAGTTGCGACTGTGGTCTCGACGAGGTCGGTAGAAATCGTTGACCTCGACGAAACCGTAGTCGTAGAAGGAGTACAAAAGGCAGTACGGAGTTGTCTGGGCAAGCCCGATTTGGAAGCGCCTTGCCAGCTAGTTGCTCGATACGGCGGCACGCAGATGGCGATTCTGCGTCTGCCAGATGCGGACGCGGAGTCGCTTCTGAAGACCGGTCGCGTTAAGATTGGCTGGGTTAACTGCAGAATCCGGGCTAGGGTGGAAGTAGATAGGTGCTTTAGATGCCTTTGCTACGAGCACTTGGCACGGGGCTGCGGTGGCCCAGATCGAAGGAACGCTTGTTGGAAGTGTGGTGGCCCGGATCACAAGAGTAGGTCCTGCAAAGGGCCCAGCTCGTTGCATGACTTGCTCCGACAAGGGGTCCAAGGAGATAAGCCACCTTCCGGGAAGCAGGGCTTGCCCAGTTTATTGGGGAATCCTGTCTGGTTTAAAAGCCAAAGTTCGGGGTCCTCCAGGTTAACCTCGGAAGAGGAAGTGTCGCGCAGGACCTCCTGATGCAGACTGCCAGGCAGAGGAAGGCCGATATACTGATCTTCAGTGAGCAGTATAGAAAGCCACAATTCTCTGTCTGGTTTCAGGACGCATCGGGGAGGTCCGGGATACAAGTTTGCAACCCGGACATCGCTGTCAGCGATTTCCTCGAGACGGATAGGGGCTTCGTTTGGGTGGAGGTGGCGGGTGTTCGAATTTACAGCTGCTACTTCTCCCCAAACGATCCCCTTAAGAAGTTCGACGCCGAGATTCGCTCTCTTGAGGAAAGCATAAAAGCTTTCGGCGGGGATGTCCTCATTGCGGGAGATTTCAATAGTAAGTCGCCGGAATGGGGGGAGACCCGCCAGGACAGGAGAGGAATCTTGGTCACCGATATGGTCTCGGCGAATGACCTGGTGGTGATGAACCGGGGCAAACAGCTCACTTGTAGGCGAGGAGCGTCAGGGTCAATTCTTGACCTGACATTTGCATCTCCTCGCCTGGCCCGCAGAATCAGAAATTGGAAGGTATTGGATCAGGTGACCATGAGCGACCACCAGTACATAGAGTTTTTAGTCTCCGAGGAAGAGCCGGGAGGGTGCAATCGTCCACAAAAGGGAAAAAAGAAACCCTCCTGGAACCTCAGGAAAACAAACAAAAGCTAGGAAGGGTGCTCTGTACTAGTGGAGCGATGAATTAGCCCGCTTAAGGAGAGAATGCAATGCAGCGAGGAGGAAATATACCCACTCGAAGGGAGACCTCACGCTGCAAGAAGATTGGCATAAAGCCAGGCGAATCTTCAAGCGGGCTATAAGGAGTAGCCAACGAAAGTGCTGGAAGGACCTAATCGGGAAGACCGAGAATGATCCATGGGGTTTGGCGTTTAAAATTGTTACTAAGAAATTAGTTTCAAGACAAAAAACCCCGGGTCTAGGCAATCCGATCTGGGTCCAAAAAATCATAAGAGCGCTGTTTCCCCATGTGGAACCGAGCCCCAGGGAGGACTATACTTGCGTAGTACAGATGGAGGAGCTCTTCACGCTTGAAGAACTAAAAAAGGCGGCAAGGGCGTTGAATAATGGCAAGGCGCCAGGCAGGGATGGAATACCAAGCGAGATCCTAAAAGAGGTCGTCTCGGTATACCCAGAGTTGCTTCTCAACGTCTTTAATGCGTGTTTAAAAGCCGGAGAGTTCCTCAGTGACTGGAAAGTGCAAAAGTTGGTCCTCCTTAGGAAAGGCGATAAACCTCTGGATAAAGTCTCATCGTTCAGACCAATTTGTTTATTGGACACGATGGGCAAACTTCTAGAGGGGATGGTTCTAGAAAGACTTCAGAGAATCCTGGTAGGCAAAAATAGCCTATCAGAAAACCAGTTCGGCTTCCGGAAAGGCCGGTCAACAGTTGATGCAATACTCTCTGTTGTGAAACTGGCAAAGGAAGTCAATCAGGGGAAGAGGAAGGGTTTCTGTGCTTTTGTTTCCATCGACATCCGGAATGCGTTCAATTCCGCGAGATGGAACATCTGCATTGAGTCGATGAGACGCAAAGGAGTGCCGACTTATCTGTTGCGAATGATAGACAACTATCTCAGTGACAGATGGGTCGTGTACGAAGGCAATGTGTTCCATCTTAAGGAAGGGATGACCTGCGGGGCACCACAGGGGTCTAAGGTGGGTCCATTCATATGGAACGTCATGTACGACGATCTCCTGAGAATGGAGCTGCCCGAAGACACGATCCTGAAAGCCTTTGCAGATGACGTACTTCTGGTGTGTAAAGCACAGGAAACCAAATCCTTGAGATAAAACTCGATGAAGGTCTGCGACGAGTAGAGCGTTGGTTGTCTCGTCATGGCCTGCAAATGGCCTTAGAGAAGACCGAGGCTCTGCTTGTTACAGTCCGGCGAGTTTTTGAAGCCCCAAAGGTGAAAATAGGAGGAACTGAAGTCTCATGGGGAAATCAACTTAAGTACCTGGGAGTGACGTTGGATCGAAGGTTAAGCTTCGGTCCTCACGTGAACATCACAGCACTCAAGGCCGCCGAATGTATGGGTAACCTAACTAGGTTAATGCCCAACATCGGTGGTCCCAGGGAAAAGAAGCGGCGCTTGGTGGCGACCGTGGGTCTAGCAAAGCAGCTTTATGCTGCCCCTGTATGGGCTGATGCCCTTAAGACCCACGCCATCTTGGACAGATTGCTCTCTGTGCAGACAGGGAGCGCACGGAGAGTAATCTCAGCCTACAGGACGGTGTCTGATTGCGCTGCTCTAGTTCTTGCGAGTACACCGCCAACAGATTTTTTGGCAAAAGAAAGACAGGAAGTCTTTCAGCTCAATAAAGAACGAGTTGTCTCGCAGGAACAACAGAGCGGCGGTAGCCTAAAGATGGCTATCCGCAAATCGGCAAGAATCAGACTAGTCGATAGTTGGCAGGCAAGATGGGATGGGGAATCCAAAGGAAGGTGGATATACCGCCTGATTCCCCACCTCGCCACCTGGTTAGAAAGAAAGCACGGCGAGGTTGGCTATTACCTTACGCAGGCGATGACTGGTCACGGCTGCTTCGGTCAGTACCTTCAAAGATTTAAGATCAGAGAAGAGGCAAAATGTGTGTATTGCGGCGCTGAAATAGACGACGCGGAACACACTCTCTTCTCCTACGGGCAATGGAGTGAGCTAAGACGGGACATGTTTGATGCAGTGAACACTCAATTCACCGCTGATGACATGGTCCCAACTATGCTCCAAAGCGCGGACTCTTGGCGCTACATCGAGTTCTTTATTACATCGGTAATGAGGACAAAAGATGTGGACGGAAGAAGAGGTTAACCTGGAGTAATCACTGGGGACGATTCGCGGGAGGGGGAGGAGGAACTAATTCTCGTTCCTCCTCCCACTCCCGCGGCTCCCCCCCGGTGGTTAATGGAAAGATTGTTTTTAACAATGGACAGAGAGGAGTAAGAGAGAGGACTTCCACTTGCGAAGTAAAGCCATTAGGTAGTTCCGCAAGTGGAAATAGAGAGTCCTGGTAATGGGGAGTTGGTTTTAGTGGGTCGACAGAGCCTTAGGCTAACTAGTTTTAGCTGAAGCTACACCTTGTAGTGGCTCGGAGTTCATCCCCACATAACCTCATGGTACGGGCCATGAGGTATCTGATACTGAGCAGATTTCCAACTTCCCTCGTAAAAAAAATAATAATAATAATATTAATAATGTCATTGATTTCTTTGATGTGCTGGGAGAAGTGGATCCACTGCCCAACAGCATTGATTTCTTTGATGGGCTGGGAGAAGTGGGTCCACTGCCAGACATGATTGATTTCTTTGATGAGTTGGGAGAGGTGGGTCCGCTGCCAGACACAACTGGCATCTTGGATATGTTCGGTAGACCTTGCCGTGGTGGCGGGGCTTTTCACTAAAGGACAACCAACAGGGTGGTTCCCTGATATAAAAAACCAAAAAATTAATGAATATGAGTCAATGTCTTAATGAATTACCCCAAGGAGGAACCCCGCAAGGGGACAATACTCCCGTCGTTCTTTCTAAGACCGTCGCAGGCCCCACGGATTTTGGGGGGGGCCAAAACCTAAATTGCTTGGATAGGGAGCTCAGCAGCTTCGAAAGAAATGTTGTTGAGCAAGTCGACATGATTCCAAAAATACTAGAAAGCATGTGGCGTGCCTGCAAGAAGCAAAAGAACATAAGTAAAGATGTTCAGGATAGTATGGTGGCTATAGGGAGGGCGCACGAGGTGATTCGCAGCAACTTGCGTTTTATCCCTGAGCCGTTTAAAAATCCTGAGCCTCATACTCTAAGTATGGATACGTCAAACTCGAATCCTGGTACGCCAAAGAAAGGAACTCAAGAGTTTGTTAAGGGAAGCGATATAACTGATAGAAAACGCCCCAGAGAGAACGAAAGTCCGGAGGCAAGTCTTCAGAAGGAAACTCCAGTAGAAAAGAGGGTTAAGTGCAAGGAAGCTCCAGCGCAAAACCCTATACTTCCAAAGGGAAGTGAAAAGTTGGTCTCAGGGGAGACTTATGGTTCAGTCACCTCAAGGAATGCATCGGCAGAATCTGACGAATTTAAAGTAGTCAGCAGAGGAAACAAAGGACCTCCAAAGAAGAAGCCTGCAGGAAAAAAAATGATCTCCCCAAACATCATTTGAAGCTTAGGACAACGGAAGCAATTAAGATTGCAGCGAAAGACCCAAAGGCTTACAACGAAATCCTAAAAAAGGCGTTTGCAGCCGTAAAACCAGAAGAATCTGGAAATGAGGTCCTTCAGATCAGGAGAACTTTTAATCAGGAGGCCCTGATCGTGGTAGAAAAGGAGGAGAGATCTTGAAATTTGCAGGAGCTCTTGCTTCAGTTTTAAAAACTGAAGCCGAGGTTATGCCTCTTGTGAATAAAAGAACTCTCGAGATAAAAGGACTTGACGAAACAGCGACAAGTGAAGACGTTGTTTCTGCCGTGAGGACAAAGCTGGAAAAGCCTGACCTGGACATAGAGTGCAGACTTTTGCCACGTTTTAGTGGCACAAAAGTGGCGTTGGTCCGCCTGACTGAAGCGGAGAGCGATTCTCTGCTAAAAGTGGGCAAAATAAAAGTAGGATGGATAAATGCTGCAGTCAGAAAGCATTTGAAGGTAGCAAGATGCCAAAAGTGTCTTGTTTACGGACACGTGACTCGAAATTGCAAGGGCCCCGACAGAACTAAAAGCTGTCGGAGATGCGGCGGTGAGGGTCATATCGCAAAGAATTGCTCTGTCAAACAGCCTAAGTGTTTGACGTGCTCTGAGTTGGCTAAGACAGACGTACTTCATGTCGCCGGAAAAGGTTCTTGTCCGGTTTACAGAGAAGAGTTGCAGAGACTTAAAAAGGCAAATCCTTAAAACTTCTGCAGGTCAACCTGCACACGTGCAGAGAGGCACAGGCCTCTGACGCAGACGGCCAGGGAAAAGGGTATCGACATTCTGTTCTGCATCGAGCAATACAGAAAAATCGACCTAGGTTCCTGGTATCAAGATAAGTCGGGTAGGGCAGCTGTCCAGGTGTGCAATCCCGAACTGAGGGTTGACAGATACCTGGAGACGAGCAGTGGATTTGTCTGGTTGGAAGTTGGAGACATACGAATGTATAGCTGTTACTTTTCGCCTAATGATCCACTGACGGACTTCGAAGCCGACATGGAAGAACTCGAATCGAGCCTTAGAGAATCCAGGTTGGATGTACTTGTCACTGGCGATTTTAATGCTAAGTCGCCGGAGTGGGGCGAGTCAAGGTTCGATAAAAGAGGCAAAGTGATCGGAGAAATGGTCTCCAGAAACAGTTTAATTACTGTGAACCGGGGAGGAGCTTGGACGTTCAGGAGGGGTGCAATCGGATCCATCATTGATCTTACGATAGCATCAACTCCCTTATTCAAACGCATAAGCGACTGGCGAGTCTCTGAGGAGTATACCGCAAGTGACCATCAGTATATCGAGTTTTCGGTCTCAGTGGGAGACACAGGAGGAGGCAAAAGACAGGAAGTTCCGTGTCGAAAGTGCCCCTCATGGAATGTGAAGAAAATCGATAAGGAGAAATTTGTTTGTTCCCTAGAAGAAGCCCGCCTTATTAAGGAATCGGGATGGGTGAAGAGGCCGAATACCTTGGATGCCGAGGTGC